ATCAATCTTTCTTTCCTAACTAGGTATACTTCACTATACACTCCTTTCCATTTTTGAACATTCTTGAATATTCTATTCCCGGTTAGAAGTATGTTGGGGTCACTCTTTACACTCACCAGCCTTCTTCTATCCACTGCGGCAGCCTTACCATCCGGCATCATACGCAGCAGTCATCTTTCTGGCGGCTTATCGCCCCGAGCATCATGCGCGACACAGGCGACCGACGCTACTAACGACGGCGACCAAGGGGGTGCTGGGATCGCACTGAGCAACAGCGGTAACGGGACTCGCAAGTACTTCGTATATGAGAACAGCTGCGACAGCATACCGCTCAAGTATGTGACCGTCGATGCTGGGGAGACCAAGTTCGTAGCGTTGCCGGCATTGTTCCAAGGTCGAATCGTACGGGGCACCGATGCCAACTTAGACGGACAACCACACCTGTTAGGTACCTGGCTGGAAATCGGATTCGACGGCACGGGTAAGGCTTACGGCGACGTATCACTGATCCGAGGTTGTGATGGTCCCGTGACCCTTGCTGCCGACGATGGGACCGGCGTAAGCACCGGCTTCGACGACTCGAGCGTATTGGCGGACGCACCTGAAGGCGTCTTTCAGCTTGAGAGTGACGGATCCAAGGTGATCGAGGCTACCGAGGGCCTGCTTTCTGTTGTCGTCGATGCCGTGCGGGACTATCTCGCCAGCAAGATCGGCTACGACAAGGCGTACATCGACGACTACCACGGAAACCCCGTCATCTGCTCCTCGAACGAACGGTTCAATGCTACATTCTACTAGGAGAGCGAAGCATTATCAAAAGCCGTCGCATAGGCATAGGAACTTCGGTGTGGCGTTTAAGGGACATTGGAGGCACGGGAAAAGGAAATAACAGGTTTACAAAACTTTGAGGAAGTCGGTGGAAAGACAAGACTCTGCCAGTTACATACATATATGGCTTCCGTAACATTCTTTGTATACATTTACACCAGGTTTTTTGAGATATCCGCCTGGGCACTTGGCACATGCGCAATTGCTCCGTGGGCAATTTTCACTTCTAAGGTATATTAACTTATCAAAGGAACACACCGATAACTTAGCTTATACAAAATTACTTTTCTCGATGGATTTGTTCAGACTTTGATCAAGCTTTGGAACTTAGAAACCTACTTGTTAGGGTATTAATAGAGTGATAAGCACTAGTCACGTCATAAGCTGACTAGAAGCTGGATATATCCCTCTAAAGCCCTTCAGCTCCAATACCAAAACGCTTCTATTGGGTGTATAATCACCTATTCTTGGCAGTCCAGCCTTACAATTCGTAGCGGTCCAATCTCTTCCGGAGTAGTCCTAACGATACTGGACGTATTTGATCGCAGTTTCTTCGGTATGATATTGCAAACATTATAGGTGCTCGTATATAGTAGATCTAGTCACCCATATCAGGGGACGGTTCTCTCCCCACGCCTCTTGAGTCTTACGTATCTGGGCCCAGCTGACCTAGACATATTATATTCTTTTAATCTTATACAGTACATTTGTCAATAGGAATCTGATCAAGTGCAGGGTTAAAGTTGTGAGATGTGATTTTGCAAATCCAAAGCCCCCTTATTCTGGAAATAATAGTAAGTAAGCCACCATGATAGCGGATATAAGCTTCTTAGTAGTAGCTAGCGGTGGAATAGGTCCTTCGCTAGAGTACGTTTCCTTAAGTGCTGCGGACCAATTAGACGCTAATGAGGGTAGGACATGCTGATCCACGGTTTGGAGGTCATCCAATAACAATGTGCGATCAAGTCGCAAATTCTGGCCATGAGATCATCTAGCTAGAACGTTCCCTGAATAAAGAACCTTAGTGTACGATTACGACAGCATAGTCTCTAAATTTGGCACGTGGGGAGCAAGCCGGGACTCATTTCTAGATCATATGCGGAGTTTGCTGCCAGATCCAGGAGGCATCCAAGATGAGAACGTAAATCCGCGCATTGTCATTTGCCCAGGTGTATGAACATACGAACGCATATACTTACTTTAAAAGCCTACTCGACCTCTACTATTCATCTACCATAGCCTAGGTGGTATTCTAGTAAATAACCTCTTTTGAAGGTGTGAGCCTAGAAAGAGGATCACGAATTAGAGTCACAATAGAGCATTTCCAAGTCAACTATTGGCATTATATTCGTGAGCACGCCCCATCAAGGCAGATATCAGTCTCTTAGCCTTCTAGATGCGGTCCTTTTCTTTCACCCATCAGAAATGACAAATGCATCAACTGCTGTGGATGGCGACTCATATATACGTCAGTCAGAGCGTCACGTAGCGAGCTCTTAGAGGTGGAGTTGAGAATACCTACTCGCAGAGGCATTTATCACACGCAACTACACTATCAACGGAATGCTGCTCCGATATGACAGAAGCATAGAATATTACCCGCACACAAAAATTGCCATTTACAAGCTAAGAGACCTAGGAGCCCCTTCCTCAGTACAAAAAGAGTACTTGCGAGCCGACGACTATAGTAGAGCAACCCATGGAAGACATCGCAAGCGCGTTCGAAGGTAACCTAGCGGAGGCAATATCTTCGAGGAATCTAAAATACATGCTAAGATAACGTTTCAAAGGACTTTCAGAGCGATTCTAATTTACTTGAGGGCGTCGCCATGTTCATTAGAGGCGCAGTAAGCCGCTGTTAGTAGTTGATCCAGTATATGAACTTACACCACGAGATAAAGATCTGGAAAGTGTGGACTCGCCCGACTTTGAGAAAAGTCTTATCTGCGATTCCTCGAATGGACGCTTGAGGGGGAGAGTTTTCGCATATACATATTTCAGCCAGAGAAGACACCAAGCGCCAGAATTACCATGGAGAGTTCAAGAAACTACCCAACCTACCTAGGTACCTAGATAAGCAGCACCATGACTATGTGTCTCAGACGATACTACACATCTAGACTATAATTGCCTACAAACGAAAAGTTCTAGCGAATAGCTCCTAAGCAGAAGAAGTGTTCATCCTTAAGGATTATTATTAACGGGTATTACTCAATCATCAATATCTACCTACCTACCTCAAGTACCTAGTTTAGGTATTCATTACCTAAAACTTCAAGGAGAGATTGCAAAAACACGGGTGTAACTACTAGAACAGCTCTTTCTTCTCCTGAGTTAGCGATCTTGGAATTAGTCAAAAATAGGAAGAGGTTAGTCGTGAACGCTAGTAATGTAGTCTTTTATATAGTGCTTCAGCTGAACTTGAAAACCAGTGGGAATGCTTCTAGACCGCCGGCGCCAATTGCGCCACGCAATTTCGACTATCGAGTTCGAGACCAGAGAGAACATCGGGTGCGATTTATATAGACTTTGGATAAAACCACAATGCTTATTGAAAGTCGATTCATACGTCGGTGCGGACGAGCCTCTATTATTTGTTTTACTCGGAGACTTTCTCGTAATCTGAGACATTCGTTTAATCATGTTGTTCAAACATATAGTCTCCGCCGCAACCTTGTCGGTATTGTGTGAAGTAACGAATGCGAGTAGATGCAAACCCAGAACAACAAGCAGTGAGCCAGGTTCGACGAGCTCTTCGTATAGCTCAGTGCCGTCGAGCGTCTATGTCGTCTATAATGCTACATCGTCATCCTTTTATTCCACTACGAGCTCCATAGCTCTATCCTCCATAACCAGCGATAGTTCAATTACATCGAGCACTGAATCTTCGGCCTCAATTTCTTCGACGAGCCCACCATGGAGCTCATCAGAGCTCCCATCAACCCAAAGCACAGTAGCAACTGAGACTGCTTCCTCAGCAAGCCCCTCAGAAACCTCATCATCGGAGAGCGTACCGGTAATTGAAACAACCTCTTCAGCGATTGCATCAACTATCTCGTCGACCAGCAGTATCGAAACTTCGTCGAGCATCACTTCATCGAGTATTGTTCCATCGAGTACTTCTTCGTCGGAGATACCTTCAGCTACATCGTCGACTCCGTCCGTAGAGCCAACTCCCACTAATACCCAAGTAAGTAACCTACCGGACGTAAAAGGTCGAGAGCTTTTACTAATTTTGACACAAGTTCATTACAAACCCCGGCTTCGAGATCGCAGATCCTATTACGTGGACCTATGCAGGATACATGCTTGACCGGGTCAACACCGGCTCATATGATACCGACCCGTTCTCGGGCTCGCGATCGTTCATCGCGCAGGGCGCAGCCGGCATCTGGCAGATCCGTCTGCAGCAGACCGTTTCGGTCGTAGCAGGACAAGCATACTCATTCCAATGTAAGTGAAGCAACCCGCCTACATTGCATTACCCCCCTTTCCCTACCCTTCTCTTTATTAAGGTGGACACAATATCTAACCGGTTGGAAAGACACGCTCAAGATGGACCTGGGCGCGTCCTGTGTTATGGACGTATTGATCAACGGCGTGCGAACGCGGCGACCCGACCTGCACAGCGTGTATACCACTTACACCGACCCGTGGGTTGCAACCAGCGACACGGCAACGATTCTGTTCAGTTCGCAGTGCTATTCCGGCGGACCGAGGTATAGACTGTACTATGACGATGTTACGTTGACCACGGTTGAAGCGCCTCAGGTTACGGGGATTTAGAATTTCGTCTTTTTATAAGAAAGGAAATGAGATCTTGATATGGTATTATCGTATATAGAAACGGTGTACATAATGTATAGACTTAACGTACCTTAGATACTTAACAGGACAATAATATTAATATTTTCTCATTAGAATCTAAGTTCAAGTTCAAGTTCAAGTTCAAGTCCAGGTTCAAGTTCAAAGTCTGGATCCAGGTCTAGAAAAATGACCTGTAGTAGCTTGGTAGACTAGTGGATGAGATCCAACCAATCGGATTATGCATATGGTAGACTTTCGCTTAACCCCACTTGCCCGTTTGGGGGGAAAACTGCAGCTAGAATATAGTATGCCATAGCGAGCAAAAATTTCATGTTCTGCTTGTAGTAATCTAAAACTACAAACAAGGCAGTGTGGCCGAGTGGTTATGGCGCTGCGTTCAGGTCGACCCTGAATACCAACTTCGCAGTGGAGCAATCCGCGTGGGTTCGAGTCCCACCGCTGTCATCTTTTTTTTTAAAAAAAAATCTTCTTCATGTTGTATCCTTTTTGACTTGTCGTGTCACCATCCTAGCTGGTGTGATAATATGAAATTTTTTGAAACTGCTGGATTAGCCCGTCAGTCAGCAGATTGAGATTCCTGAGGCATGCCTTGGTTTTAAAGCAAGGGTTTTAAAACAAGGCCTTCAATCGTGCTGATCTTCGTCGTGACTTCATCAGCTCCTTACCCTCCAACACTGCCATACTCACCACCTATATATCAGGTTGTTATCACAATTACCTATCTCGTGAGTTCTTAAGAACCAGCAAATAAATAAGGGTGCTAAGCTAGAGATTTGTCCCTAAGTTCGTCAGACTCATCTTAAAAATTCGAGAGGAATAGAATAGATCAGGTACAGAAGCAGTGAACCAACACGACAACCCGGCAATTAAGCTGTTTCGCTTCCTCCTGAAATGTTTATATATGATGGCTATTTCTCGTTGCTTTACCAACTACCCAAACAAGGAAACATAGGCTGAGTGATTGCATTTTAACAAGGGAGGAAGCGGGTGTCACAAACTTGGCGCAACTTGTAAAGAAACTCGCCAGTCTTGAACCGGCAACCGACAACCAACCTAGGTTTCCAATCGATTCTTGAGCGGGCACATTCGTATTCGATTGGTGTTGGGTCAATATGCCACAGAACCAGGATCTCAGCCCCCAACTAGTCGGCAATCCCTTTATCAAGAAGGAGAATTTAGAGTGGATTTTCGACCTTTCTCATCCGGCGCCCGACGATCGTGAAGATAGCAGCTCCGATGAGACGGGTGACTACGGACCCGGGGCGGAGGAAGAAGGTCCAAAGGCGTCGGCTGTAGAAGCGGGCGAGGCCAAGGTTGAGGACTATGTGGGCTACTTCAGCGGGGTTCTAGAGAAGGCTATCCTGTCGCCTTTCCCGTCGGATATGCCACGGTTATCTATCGACGCATACCGAAGGCTTTACGAGGACAACTCGGGTAATCCGCGAGGCGCGCATTTCATCGTGCATCAGCACGACCATCCCATTGCGGGCACACACTACGATCTCCACCTGCAGATCAACGAGACGAGCAGCGCGTCCTGGGCCATCATGTACGGCCTCCCGGGCGATCCAAACAGCCGGCGTCTAAACAGGAACGCGACGGAGACGAGGGTTCATTGTCTGTGGGTACGTCCCCCCGGAACCCGACTCGGGGCTCTAAAGTTTAGATAGGTACATAAGGTATCTCGATTATCGTCTACTAACGTACATATTTCCCCCCGCAGAACCATCTCATAGAAACAGCGTCGACAGCAACCGGTTCCCTCCTGATATGGGATACCGGGACGTACACCATTCTCCCGCCACGGGGGAATAGTAAACCAGCTAATTTCAACTCGCAATCCACCGACGAGGAAGAAGTAGAAGAAGCCTGGTCCAGACGCACGCAGCAGGAGAAACTCCACCAGGCGTTCCAGACGCGGAAGATCCGCATCCGACTCATCGGCACGCGTCTCCCGCACAACTACGTGCTAAACCTACGCCTCACCAAAGCCGAAGACGCAGCCGGCCGCGCGAAGAGCACGCGCACGCGCACGCGACGACGCAGGCGAGGAGCGCCCCTCCCGGGACAAGGTAGTAGCAGAAGAAGAGGAGGAGGCGGGGGGGGGGGAAGCGCAAGGCAACCGAATTGGAAACAAGCCCCGACTCGGACTCGGGCTCGGACTCGGGCTCGGACTCGGGCTCTGAGCTAGCTAGCTAGAGACGGAAAAGAGGGCGACGGTGATAATACGGGAAACGGAGAATCGGAAATCGGGAATCATAAACGCAACTGCGCCCGCGGACCAGGCGGAGCGTGTAAGCGCGGAAGAAGAGGCTGCCGTCTCGGCGATGGAGCGGGAGATCCGCGAGCTGGAGGACGAGCAGGTGCGGCGGACGAATGCGTACGCCGGCGCGGCGAACCCGGTCGGGAGCGTGCACCGGCGGCGGTGGTATGTTTCGCTTGATAGGGAGGCGTGTGGGTTTGCGAGGAGGAGGAAGGCGGGGAGGATGGTTTGGGAGACTCAGAAAGAGGGGGGGAGGGGGGAGAAGAAGTAGAAGGGCATGCTGATGATGATGATGGTGGTGGTGGTGGTGGTAATGGCTGTGATAGTGGTGGGAATCGACTTACGTTCCCGTTTTATGTCCGCGGCGCTGAGATCGAGAGGAGCGTTGTGACGGGTCGGACGGGTGCGGATGTATTAAGGGATGAAGGTGTTGTTGGACACGTTGCGCGGAAGGGCTGGAGGTCTGTGTTGAATTAAGTTGAGTGACAGCTTGGATGTGGGTTATATATTGTCAGAATCCTGTTTTGAGCTTTCTTGATTTGGGGAAGATTTCGTGTTACTCATAAGTTGGTTGGGTTAGGGAGCAAAGGCTTCTTTCTTTGCATTATAGGACTCCGACTAGAAAGATGCGCGGAGTTTAGGAGAGAGACTTCTTGTATTAATTCTATCGGTATTAATACGAGGATTCTAATCTTGATTTTCCCCCTGTCTGCTAAATTGCTCATAAAAGTGCTGAGCCGACTTTTCAACACATTTAAGGCCCATGAATAATAAGACCGAACATAGAGATGCAGTCCATCTCCTGCCCTGTCTAACAGCTTCGTTGTTCGGACCTTTCCAATTCCTTATCATATAGATTTGCATGCCGATCATAACGAGAGGCGAGATGATGATAGAGACCAAGAGAAGTTTCCCGATGGATGCTAGAATAGCATCGGTTATCATGGGTGCGTAGTAGATAGACGCAACCGCGAAGAAGAATGTCAACTTGAGGAAAAGTCGACCTGGGGGTGGGGAAAAGAACCAGGCATGGTACGAAGCCTCTTTCATTTGTCGAAGATGTTCATCGTCTATATCCGCAGCGATTATCTTGTTAGTATATTAGGTACCTAAGGTACTCTTGTCAGATAAGTTCTTAACCCAGATGGAAACTTACACCGGGCGGTACGGTACGGACTGCCAGCCTTCGGTTCGGCAAAGAATTCCTCCCCATCGTCAAACAAGAAGTCGTACCACGAATCTAACAGGTCGTCAATCCGCTCTCTTATGCTCCTTTTGGACGCACGATGAGATTCGTCGTGGTGAGGATGCCCGAGGAAGTGGTTGAACAACTGAGCGAGTAATATCGAGTCATGCTTAGACATTTTGAAAATATCATCAGTATCGGCGTAGTGAAGAAAGTTGAACAATAGTTTTTCGGTGAGCAGAATCTGTATGTTTAAGTAGAAACAGGTCAATTCTCGGGTCTGAATTGTTCGAAATTTCCATAAATATAGTGATGTAGCCACGTATTTGCTTAAACCTGAGCTTTGTAGGTGAAACACCATCGTCGAAGTGGTAGTTAAATATCTACCTAGGTACCTAGCTAGATAGCCCAAACAGGTTGTCGTTTGTTAACATCATATACGATTTCAAACCTGCCCTATTCACTTTAGGGGTGTGACTAATATCCTCTGATAGACACGCTTCGATATCACCATTTCACCTTGGACTTTGATATGCCGGTATATCTTCTGGAAAGGTTCGCATTGCTATTTTGGGTATATCCTCATGTAGAAGACCTACACCAGGTAGCTGTCAAGTCGTCATTAATAAGTCCGTAAATACATAATAAACCGCATGCTAGGTATCTTCACCAATTACCTCCAAACACACGAAGTCAACTGCAAACGCACGCTTGACCATATTGCAGCTTAGGTATAAAGCAAGCCCCGAAATATGAATCGTAAGTAATCGTATTTCCATCCACGAGTCGAAACGCCCCCAAGTAGGATATCCTTAATAATAAGCGCATCCTCGAACTCCAACCTGGTGATGATGCCGTGCAATATAATGTGACCACTATTACGTATCGCATACTCGGTCGTCGTAACATCTAAACTCCCGCCGTGTTGAACTATATCATAAACCCGCGCTTAAATCTCTTGTATGCAGCCCCGTTATCCATACCTCATAGGGGCCTGGCCTTGAGGCGGACCTTGACCCCATCCTGGGGGTGGACCTTGCCCTTGCGGAACGGGCGGTTGATTCTGCATAGGAACGTTATTCCCAACTCCCCCACGATGCATCGCCTGGACATCGGGTCGGTGTTCTAAGGGCTGCGCGAAGTTGCAGATGTGGCAGACTACGTCCTGGTAGCCGTGGATGGAGAGCGGGATGACGGGCTAAGTTTCACGATAGGTTAGCATCTCTTGCGACGGTTCTTATATTACGCGTATAGGTAGGTAGGTGGCTAGGTAGGTAAGTCAGGTATAAAAGTATTACGCTATTTACTTACCACGAAGCAGAAGGTAAACCAAGGATTGCTTTTGATGACGTGTCCGGCCCAGTTACCACAGTTGTGGCACTGACATACGACACCTTCGTAACCTTCGACCTCCTTCCTGAAGGTATGCTCGCCGCAGGTGAATATCAGACACATCTTATCGAAGTGCTAGGAAGGGGTATCGGAACTCAAAAGCTAGGTACGCTAACTAATCGAAACGGTCGGATAGTCTTTTTTACCTGGTAGGTAAAGGTAGATACCTCTATTCGCGTGATTGTAAAGAGAGTTTGCCGAGGGAAGAAAGGATGCGAGATGAATATTGGCGAAAAAAAGGAAGTTAAGAATATTATATCTGATCTGGTCTGGTCTGGCCTGGTTATGTGTTTTATCTTAACAGGGGTCAAAGTATTCCGTAGAGAAGGCAACAATCTTAAAATCGATCGTCAAAATCAAATGATTCCTTTGTCGGTGCCATGTTAGCTGAAGGCTTTCGCATCCTCGTGCGAGATGCGCGCGTCACCTTCGGGGGCTGTGCTTCGAAGGCCAAGACTCCCAAGACTCCCAAGACTCAAGAAACCCCAAGAAACCCCAAGAAATCCAAGACAATATTCAATACCGTACCTTCTTCATGTTCCGATTCCAATTCAAGGCGCATTTGAAATTGCCGTGACACTGCATACGCTATGTACATTATCG